TGGTGCAAATTACTGACCTCTGTCATCATTTTAAGTGGGGGAACTTGCACAATCGGTGGCTGACTAAATACTTTTTTGCCCCACTGTATGTTGCATTAGATCACATTAGCTGAAATAGTTAAGTTTTTGGAATCCAGATAAAAGTAAAATACAGTATTTATATGCATTTTTATTTACAACCCATATAAACATTGAAATACAGCAAAGAAAAACACACAGCTTTTGCCACGGTATTGAACGTGCAGCGCTGTGAAAATCTGAAGTCACTGAAGACACATCAAAGAAAATTCTAGAGAATTAATTCCACGACACGCAAGTGTGAAAGTGTAGTGCAGCACACAAACTGCACTGCTGCAGTGGTTATGATTTCAAAGATAAAATCCTCCAGCATGTCAAAGATGGGTGTTTATACCACCAGTTGTATATAAATGTGAGGATTAAGTGAACTCTAATATAAGCATTACGTCCATGTAATAAGGATTCCATTACATTTGTTATGGATTAGACTAACGCTGGTGTTTACTCTGACCGGCTGGAGAGACCCATGAATGGTCAAAACTGTTATAAGTGAACGTATCTGAAAAAGTAGGTGGTAATTCAGAGGCTGTGATTCACTGCTGTAGTGATTTAACACTAATTATGTGGAAGATAATATTCAGCGGTTATAAGGCACATAATATGTCTGACTGAGATATTCGTACTGCGCACACAAAGGCAAAAATGTAGGCATTTAACTGTGTCAGAGGTGGAGGTGGATGTTAGGAAGTGTATTGTTGCAGAACACAAAGCAAAGTTTTTCTATTCTAATTTTGTTAAATGAATTATGAGGCTGTCACAGCTTAATCATTCTCTGCTGTGCCATGAATGACTGAGAGCAGCTGAAAACACTGATCTTCCCACATTTGTTACACTAGGCTTTCTTGTCATGATCATGTTGTAAGTCAGCCATCCCCAAAGTCAGGACTGCTGCCGCCCACTTAAGAACCAGAAAATCCCAACAGGCCCATCCATCTTAAATCTAATCAAAACACAAGAGAAAGCGATATATTTCCTTTAAATTTGTGTTCAAAAAACATAAACAACCTTATCAAGATCGATTAATTTGTGTCAGAAAAATTAGTAATATCACAAACTAGCTATTACCAAATTAAATTCGCTTTTTATAGAAATAAATACATGTATATAAAAATTTAACTGTACAAACCTGTGAGTAATCAAACTAATCAATTTCTGTTATTACTGAGGCCTACTTGCAGTACCTTTGCGGCCCACCAGGGGCTTCAGGAGTCATTGTTGTAGGTCATACAGTATGTTTGCAGAAATGTAGGAACTCCCAAAAGATTTACATTCATGTGTTAGATTGCATTCGGTGCATTATCATGCAATTTTTAGTGAAATCTTAGATGCTTCAAGCAATCCCTGCCTGAGCTTCCTCATTCTAATTCAGTCCTTGTGCTCCTTGTCAACACAAATAAACAGAAGCAGTCACCCCTCACTTACTGTACTAATCAAATGCCAAGTCAGAAATTATTGCAAGGAAGCAGCTGTCTCAAAACAACATCATGTTCCCACAATGAGCCGCATTCAAGTCAAAGTAAGCAAAGGATCATGAGAACTGCCAGTTAGATGCATAACAGATTGACCGTCTCTCCTTCCTCTTGTAACAGTTTTAGTGGCAAAGAAATGTGCAGCATTATCTCAGGGCAGAAGAAGTTAAGGCTTTGTAAGTCACAGTTCTGTTTGCATTCTTTGTTTGCCTGCTGGACAAGAGTGCTGGACAAGAGTAGAGAGAAAAAAACATTAAATCCAGGTAACTCACGGTTACGCTTGCCCTCCTCATCTCCCTCCTCCTCGTTCTCAGGGTCGATGTCCTCTGCCTGGGTGATCCAGTCCAAGTAGCCCTTCAGGTCTTCTTCTAACTGCTGCTTCTCACGCAGCTTCTGGAAATCACCTCGAGCCTTGGCCTTTTCTCGCTCTTTGGAGAACTCTCTATAGAGGGGAAAGCATAATGTCAAACGTGGGTCACCGTAACACTGTACAGCATGGCAGCGCTCTGCAGTCTTAAAACTAAGGCTGCACTAAAACTGATAACTTAATAACCTCATCAAACAATTTCTTATCGTTTGTTAAAATGTGCAGGGTTAAACTTATTTGTGGAATTCACATTTTTATATTATTACCAAAATGAGCAAAATACCCCATCTATGAATATGTTTTATAGATATAATTACACGCATACTGTAAATTGCATGTTCCTTTCAAGTAGACTCTCAGCACCCACAACAGGGCATTTTATTAAAACAACAATTCAAAACAGAAACATGAAACATACCCACTCAACACACCCAAAACCAGGTTAAGAACAAAGAAGGATCCAAAGATGACGAGGCTGACAAAGTAGACCCACGGCAGCTCAAAGCCCATTGCATCATTCATCTACACAGAAAGAGATAATAGGAACATTTAACTGAATTAACTCTAAATGCAGACATGGCAATGTTATTCTTACAGCTTACATAGATTAAATTATTCGAAATAAAAACTGAATTATAATTTTAAAAAAATCATTAACTCATGGAGGTGCAAAGCCCACAGCATCCCTTGAGCAGGAAAGAGGTTTGTCACTCAACTACAGCTAAAACTGCAGCAGCAAGGGTGACCACTAGAGGGAACCATGTGAGAGACAACTGGGTCAGTTATGAATGACAGTGAGTACTTGTATTAGTGTTAGTAATGAGGCTGTGCCAAATGACCGCACTAAATCCAACGTGCCTCTTAACTGAGCTGCTGGCAACACCAGGACCTAAAAGTTTGCCCTTTTTTCATAATCACATTTCACACAGCTCTCATTATAGTAGGCACTTTTATTTGCTCAGTGTAAATGTTTACAGTTTACACTTCTATTTTGATAGTCATTTTCCCGTTAAAGAAAATAATCCCACTGATGTGCCTGCCCCCAGCCGCAGAACCGCCCACCCCGAAGAAACATTTATACTTATTATATATATATATATATATATATATATATATATACTGATTATATCAGTACGAAAGGCTCAAGGTCAGTTTTAATTTATACATCTGCGTATCTATCCTGCCATGATCTCTTTTTCCATCTTTTAGGTTTGCTGAATCTCCTTCCTTCCACCACTTTAACAGCAGTATTAGCATGGGATTGCCATGGTAACACATACATGCATGAAAGTGTGTGGGACAGAGAGAGAGAGTCTGAGAAGACGAACGAGAAGGAGGTGAAGAGGTTCATTATTTCATAGATGAGGGTCTCCATCAATAAAAGGGCGTGGGCGTATTGTGAGGAAAACTCATCATCAGTGCTGAGTATTTTGGGTAATTAAAAGCTGTTGGTGATTTGTGTTAATATGAAGCCGGGGGTTTCAGGTTAGCCTTTAAAAATGGGTTACACACTCTAGCTGTGAAAACTTTTTTAGAAAATAACAACAACAACAAAAAATCACATAAAGCATGGATTTGCAAAACAGAGAGAAAAAAACTGAAAGGCTTAAATGTTTGCTTGGAAAAGTGTTGTTGGGGTCAAACCTGCATGAAAAATCATGGTTCTGAATGGTGTCTTACTGCTTTTGTCACATTTGTAACTAATGTTCCATTGTGTTCTTTATTTATGTCTGAATGATTCATAGGTCAGCATTAAGTAGCTTAAAAAACACAAATAATTCTACTGAAAATAGCCAGGTACAAAGAGTGGACTGAATAATGACTGGAAAACCAGCCAGTATCCAAAGTCAACATCCTACACCATGAGAAATCCTGGACAACTATTGCTCAAGACCACTTAAAAAATTGCAAGAAAGTCTGGCTCCCTGGAAACAACATATAAATAAATGCAGGGTGGCTCAAGACTTTTGCACAGCACTATATTTTCAAGTAGCATTGTAAATTTGGGTTTACCCAGTAGAGAACGTCAGTCCAGCCTTCCATGGTGATGCACTGGAACACAGTGAGCATGGCAAACAAAAAGTTGTCAAAGTTGGTGATGCCATTGTTGGGGCCTTGCCAGCCTTCCCGGCAAACTGTACCATTGAGAAGGCAATGACGCCCATGCCCTGATATTGCACATGGCGCCGGCTCTTCCTCTGCGAGGGCACCTGGAGATACAAAGACAAACAGGTAAATCAACATGGAAACAACATGCAAGTGACTTTAGATCATCCAGGCAAAACTTGTTCAATTATTTGTCACATCATTTCACGTATGTTCTTTGTCCACGTTTAAATCTCATGTTGCATCTTCCTTCTTAGTGTGTTATAATCTATCTATTTTTGAGAATGTGGAGTTTTTTTCCTCCAGCAGTATTTTTAAGAGTTCCCCATCACTGTATTTTCTTTGATTCTGACATTATGATTGGATTATTACCTCATGCAAAGATAATAATAAAGTTAAGTTTAAGCTATATCCATGATAAAATGGGTATCAGGAATCCATAGAGCCATTCATGCATTCCTCTGTGTCACACTTTAAAATTGCACTGTTCAGTATTCTGACATTATTCCATCATCATAGGAGCAATGCAGAAAGTTATGCTATACACTGACATTAATTACAGTTTGCCCCAGCACCCAACGCTTACAGTTCACTCACTGTAGATTAGCCCACATGTTAAACTTTCCACCTTTTTAATCAAATAACCACACTGCTTCTACACACACAAATCCAAACAGGTGGCCTCTTCCTTTTTTGGAAGCATGTCCCTCTGACCTATCCAAAAACCTAAAAAAAACACATGCTAAATGCTATTTTTCAGGGCCGGTGAACACACAGTGGCTTTGATTAAAGCGAGATTCAATCCTGCTCTGTCGTGACCTCTCGACTTTACCCTGCTGTGCTTCTCCTGAAGTCACCAGGCAAACAGAACAGATGAAAGCGAGAAAGGGAGAGAAAGAAGGCGAGATTACGTTAAAGGTGAATGAGAGGGAGAGTGACACGCCACGATAACAGTTGTCGTAATGCAGCAAATCCCTGTTACTTAAGCTGCTTCAATCCCGTCAGTCAGCCATTTTAGACTATAACTGTGGTTTTATGTATGTGTCTTTGTGTACATATGTGCTAATGTCCATCAACATGTCTCTTTTTTTCTGATACACTGACATCAAAGAGTAATGGTAAAGCAAAGGTCAAGCATGTTTACATAATAGCTAGATATTAGTCATTTAATCACTGGATTTAATCCACCATCTGCTGTTCTGCCCTGTTTTCAGTGGCTTGTCACCATTCACATAGGTACATGTGTCCATTCATTTTCAGAGACAGGGATTGAATCCCGAATCTGTTCTAAGGTGACATGTATGCCTGTTTACATTACATTATGGCGTACAAATCCCTCTTTTAACAGGTGTCTGTAGAAAGTGAAGCAGACGTGTAGTAGCAGACAAGAAAGGAAGATATCTTACCTGTTTCTGTCACGTAACAGGTGGCATGCATTTTGCCAATAAAAAGCTCCAGGCCAATGATGGCATAGATAATAATGACAAAGAGGACCAGCAGAGCGATGTGAAGCAAGGGAACCATGGCTTTAATAATGGAATTTAAAACCACCTGTAAACCTGCAAAAGTATAAAGAAGCTAAAGTCAGTCAGAAGAAGCATCAGTTTTACTCTGTGGAAATTGGGACAGATGCAAAAAGACAAAAACACAAATTATTTACCCAATCACTTAGCCAAGCCATGATATGATTATCAATCTAAAAGCCCATGATAACAATGATTATGCAAGAAAGCAAACAAAGGACCAAAATATTAAGGCTTAATTAGACTGTAAATAATGAATACGACTCCAACAAACACTAATGGTAACCCTTTACATGGTAAATCATGGCATTTGATGTTGAAAGGTATTGTAAAAAGGAAACAACCGAAAAACAAAACGAAAACAAAAAAATGCAACCAAAAGAAAAAGAGGTTCCTCCCAATAATCAACAAAAAATCCTAAAAAAAACCAACCTGGAAAAAAAAAACAAAAAAAAAAAAAAGGGAAAACCGCAAAAAAACTTTAATTTCAATAACAAATTGGCCTAAAAGAATTTTCTCAGTATTAAGGCATTTTCAATAAATAAAATACAAGAAATAATGAAAAATGAAGTTCCTAATGTGGGGTTAGTAATCGTTTTGTCTGACAAACAGTCCAAAAAGTCTGTTTGTCAGTCCAAAAGTCCTGCAAATTTATTAAGAAGGTGGAACTGTATTTAACCATCAAGACTTTATTGGATTAATAAAAAAGTTTACATTTATTTCTTTTTGATAACCAGCTACAGAACAAAATCTCTAAACACTTAAAAAAAATCACTTTTCTAGTCAGTTTGCTTAGCTAGCAGCTGGCACGTGGGCAACCTACTGTATGTTTTGCTATACAATACATAGGTATACAGAAACTCGCACACAAACACTGTATTCACAATAGTGCAAACGTACATGTTTGTAAAAATGCCCAATTTTTTACAAAAGTCTAATTATATCAGTGGATAGGAATGAAAGCTAGCAAACTATCCTCTGCTTTACTAGCTAACGGGTTAAAACATCCCAGCTAAATCAGACTGCAAAGACAAGACAAACGTTAAACTCAGTTTCAGTATAGAACTGAAAATGTCGTTTGAGCTCAATGCATCTTTATCTGTCCCAGAGGTACTTTTTTTTCCTCAGACCTAGCAAATGCTACGTTGCTATGGCAACTCAAAGAATGTAGACACATTAGGGCATGTGTTGATTTAAGGTCAAATATGTGCTGAAAACAGAAACACTGAAGGAAAAAAGTATATAATGAATGATAAAGAAACTGGGTGATATGATAGGACCTACACAAACTTCTAAGAGCTAATGTTTAACCAACCACCTTATTGGTAAACTACCTTTGCACTGCTAACAGTCAAGTGTCTTTGGAGGGCAGTGGAAGAAATACAATACTCAAATAACCCAAAAGCACAAGCTAACAAAAACCTCACTAAATAGTTAGTGATAATAGTTCCAGAAATGACTACAGAAATGTTCCAGTAGGCCCAGCCTGGACATCAATAAAAGGTTGGAGTGGGTATAGCAGACAGTAAAGTTAGCAAGTCAAAACACAGGTCATGCTGCTTTACTGTTGCTAGCACTGTGATTTAATTTTAAAGTGTTTAATACAACACAGTGAATATTTCACTTAGCGAGACAGTGAGATAGTGCTTTATCAAAATTTATACACTTGCAACTTTGTAATAGTCAATCATTCTTTTACCCACATCCTACCTTGGCCACTAAAAGAAGTTTTGAGCTGTTTCATAAACAGGCGGATTATTGAGATCAATAAGCCAAATAAAGACTAAAGAATATATAATTTAAGGTCTTTTTATTTTCAGTTCAAGTCATTTTTATTTTATATAGAGCCAAATCACAACAA